TGGCTGCCTTGGTCACAAGGGATGCTTCCCCAGCCTGCCCCCCAAAAAGTCTCTTATGAAACAGTCCACCTTTCATAATAGGCTTTTCTAAAGTCCAGTGTCTGTGTACCTGTTTGTTAAGGCCAGTGACAGTGTTGACAGTGCATTATCTTACATAAGCAATATGGAAAGAGAGAGACACGAGATAAGGGAGTACCGCTTAGCAGACCCAGTATGTGACATGGGGTAGTGCAAGTACCTGCTGCCTACCAGCACTGCCTGCAACAGTGCCTGCTCCCAGTGCACGCATCCAGCCCCGGGAGCAGCAACCTCCCTCTGACCCCAAAACCTTCTGACCCAAGAACACATACCTCAAGGACAGGTTTACCCCCTGGCTCTGGCTTCCTCATCCTTGTCTGCTTTACAGGTTCAGCACAAAGCTGGAAGACCCCCTTTCTCCTCCCAGAGCCTTATTTTATTCCCTGTGAGCTTCAGGGAAGTGGAAAGGGTGCAAGTGGGTCTTCTGAGGTGGCTGCAAGGGCTGAAATGCCATCTCAGACATCTCCCAGGAGTGCACCAGCCACTGTGGCCATACCTGGCATCCCATAGGGATGTCTTGGTGCCAGTATAGGATCTCAGCCTTGCTGCCGCATCTTCATGCCTGGGGACTACCTGCAGCCCAGCCTGCCCCTGCCTTAGCCCCACCAGCCCTCCGGGTCAAGTATTTGTTGAACACATCTCCTCTGAAGGAGGTTTGGGTTGGGATTGACTGAATAGCTGCCAGCTCTCTGCTTTGAACCTGAGAACTGTTGTCCAGACCATGGAGGGACCAGTCCCCTCTCTTCCCTGCAACAGGGTGGATTTCTCTTCCTTACGAAAAAGTATTACCTTGGGAGGTGCTAGTCCCCACGAAATGGGGCAAGGAGCAGTGTGTCTGCAAGGGATCTTTCCCCACGCGTTTGCTATCCTTTTAAATGAAGTGTGTCTTGGAAAGGAGTCAAGTGTCTTGTGTAAACAGCCTGGAGTCAGGATCGCTCAGGCACTCTGAAGGAAACACAGATATGATTAAGAGGGGATTTTGTGTGTGTGCGGGTGCATGTGGGTGCACGCCTTTGGCCTCTCTGCCCTGCTCCCTGACTGCCCACGATTGCTGCTTGCCTGCAGCTCCAAAAATACACCAGGCTCTGATGGGAGCATCTTCTCCGCACTTCGTATTTGTGGGAGTGTCCCTGACTCCTTAACCTCCCACCGCACCTTCGCCTTTGGTGCCGTTGTGCCTGCTTTGCATCAGCAAAACCTCCCTTCAGATGAGTTTGGCTCTTCTTTAAAACCCCCTTCTTCGTTGTTATGGAAGGTAGAGGATAGCAGTTCCATCCCCTCCTGGGGTTGCTCAGCAGGTGCATGGGGCCAACCAGCTCTGGTGCTCTCTGCAACTGGAAGGGACCAGGTTGGTGCTGGTTTCCATGGACCAGCATGTTGTGGGTGGTCAGCATGAACATATGGGGATGGGGATGCATGGGGAGAGGGACAGGGATGGCAGAGACCTGTGAGGACCTGTGAAAGGACACAGGAGAGTGGTGCCCTTCATCTCCACCAGCCTCAGAGTTCTGCTCTTCTCAGCTGTAGTGTCTTGGCCAGTGCCAAGGTCAGGTGGTGCACGGACTCCTTTTGGGGAGCCCTCCAAGTAAGCCCCTCTCCCAGCTATTTGCACTTAGAGCCTTCAAGGTTTGGGCTGTTATTATTTTAATTAGAATTGAGTCTGCTGAATGTAGGGGAAGTCTTAAATCAGGCACATCTCTTGCCTCCAGACAGTCAAAGTTTGGAAGAGTCGAGCTCCAGCTGCACAAGTCCTGGAGCAGCAGCTGTTTTGCTTTGCTCTGACTGTTTTGGGTGGCAGCTTCTTCCCAAGCAAAATAATCTCCTCTGCCCTTCCCCTCCCATCCTCCGGACTTTCTGCATCCAAGGGCTGAGGCTGCTGTGTGGTCTCAGTGCCAGCAGCAGCGTGGGGTGGGATTGGGTCCCCTGAGCATCCTTTCCGTTCTTCTGCCTTTCCTGCTAACCCTGCTCATAGGAGCCGAATTAGGACTCATGGGCGGGGGGGGAGCAGTCGCACCCCAAAGTCTTTCTCTCACCTTGTCAGTGCTCTCCATCTGCATTTCTCCCACCTTGCCTTCCCTTACAGCAGGCAGCCCCAGCTTGCTCCCAGGCATCTTGGGATCCACGGCCCCATTTTGTCCATCCCCAGGTCATCACCAATGCATAAACCCATCTCAGGCCATCTCTCGCCAGCTCTAACTTTTTCTGCCTGCCCTCTCTGACCACAGCTTGTCCCTCCCATCTCCTGCCCTCCATCCTCTCCTGAAGCACAGCCAGTGCTGCTTCCCCACGGTCCTTCCATGCCTCTACCTTCTCCCCATCCCCTGCTAACTCCAGCATTTTGGGGAGTCAGGCTGCCTTTCCTCCTCATCTTCCCTCCCTGCCAGCATCCTCTCTCTCCCCAGCACTTCTCATCTCCCTGTCTGCCCTGGGATTAGGCTGACATTTGCTGCGCTAAATTCAGCCTTAGTGATCCACCCTCTTCCCTCCTTGTTGGTAAACAGCTTGGCTTCTCCAGCTAATGCCTCACACCAGGAGAGCTCTCCCTCCAGCTGCTCTGCATCTCAGGCAGTCCCAGCCCTCCACTGTTTAGCCAGCGTTTCCTTATTCGAATGACTTCAGTAGGGTCTGGCCAGAGCTGCAGGAACAAAAATTAATGTTCTCTGGCAACAAGATCCCCTCTCCGTTTCTCATCCTCACAGGAGTCACCTCTCTGCTCCAGACCAGCCCGGCTGGACTAGGATGATGAGGGTGGTGAGACACTGGAACAGGTTGCCCAGAAAAGTTGTGGAAATGTCCCTGGAAGTGTTCAAGGCCAGGTTGGATGGGGCTTTGAGCAACCTAGTCTAGTGGAAGGTGTCCTTGCCCATGGCAGGGGGGTTGGAGCTAGGTGATCTTTAAGGTCCCTTCCAACTCAAACCATTCTATGCTTCTATGACTAATTACACAGTGATCCCAGGTCAGGATTGGGGAAGGTGAAGGTGGTGGATCCAGCTGTCACCTGCAGGACCATGTGCTCGGATGGGTTTTTGAACATAGGAGTTGATAGCTGAAGGGTGTAGAGGTCATTCTGGTTCAAGAGTTTACTTTCAGATGTTTCACTTCCACTTTGTCCCTGTCTGGAAGGGTTTCCTACCTTGCGCCCCACATTGTTGCTCTGTGGCTTTTTGTCGGGGCAAAGTCCCACCCTGGGACTTTGTCCTCTCCTGATTGGCTACCAGGGTGGCAGATACCTGCCTGATGTTAGCTTGTCTGCTGACACCCCTCCAAGATGTGGCTGGGGAGTTCATGGCAGCAGCTTGTCCCTGTGACCCTTCTTCCCTCTTTTTCTGTCTTCCTCCTTTACTTTTCTGTGGTCTTCAGGTTGTTCACAGCCTGCCCTCACACTGCCAGGGCTCCATTTTCTCCTTCCCCTTCATCTCCCATCCTCTTCTCTCCTGCTGCCTGTCAGCACCTCTGCCATCTCTTATGCTTTTAGATACCTGGCTCTGTCTTCTGGCTGGTGCTATCCTCCCTCACAGGAGAAGCTTCCCAAGAAGCCATCTTCTTGCCCATCTTCTACCCAAATTCTCTTGCAATTGCCTGACCAGCGACAGGTAGATCCCCAGGGCTCTGCGTCCTCCTCTGCTCCCCAAAAGCCACTCCACCCATCTACGGCATTTGCATCCTCCGTGTTGGGTGGACAATTTTGTTCTTTTTCTGGTTGTTTTTTTTCTTTTCCTTCACACAATGGGTCAGGGCTTCTGGGCACTGCCGCCATTTCAAATAAATACTAATAACGAGTATTGCTGCTCTCCTAGCCAAGGACATAAGGAATTTGTCAGCCCTGAAGTACCTTTGATCCCCCGTTCATCATCTTGGGCTTCCCACTGTTATCTTTGTGGGACATGCTTCCGGTATTCAGCAAATATTTGATTTCCTGTGAATTTAAATAAAAAGACTTTTTCCCTTTTTTTTTTTTTTTATAAATTAGTCTAAAATACTTTTGGCACCATGTGGACGCATACCATTCCAAGAAAAATAACGGAAAACTGTTCTGACTAAATATAGATCAAAAGACACTTGTGAGCTGCCTCTTGCATCCCCGTCTGAGAGCACTTTCCTCTCCCAGGCCACCCGGGCTCTTTCGACCATGCTTCTGCCCTGCCCTTACACTCTCTATGTTCCTTCCTCTGCTCCAGGCAATCTCTGCCTCCATTCGGCTTGGTTTCTGGCTCAACTTACAGCCTGGCTCAAGGGAAAGATGCTGTTTTTAGAATACTACAGAGGTCTTCCAGTAGTGAGACTACGTTGTGCATATTTCATCCTTTCCCTCTGGGGCTTTTAAAGCCCTTTTCCACTTTTTCTTGCAATACCCCTTGGAGCAGGTTCTGTTAATTGGCTTTACAGCTGAGTGAATCCAAGGGGCCAACTGGAAATACTGGATCTCAGGTAGTCTAAACGAGCATGGCTCCCTTTCAGCTGTGGCACAGCAGCTGCAGGGTTGGCTCTAACATGGTCTCAGGAGCACCCACCAAGTCTATGCAAAGTCAAGCCTGTCTCATTGATTTATCGTTGTACAACTCCCAGTGCAACAGGTCCTCCTAGGGTTAGAGGGTTGTTCTTGAGAGCTGCACAAGGATTGCCACAGTGCAAATAATAATGAATATTAATAATGATAAAGCAGAGGAAAGATAAAGACAGAGCTCCTTGTCCTCTCTTCTGAACACTGCTTTGCTCATTTTGCAAAGCTAAATTAATTAGGGATCCAGGACTGAACCCTTCAGTACATCTGTTGTATGTCAGAGATGCAGCCATATTGGCCAACTTGAGTCCATGTGAGTATGACTCTCAAGTGCCTCACACAGGACATGGTCTCCAGCAGTTACACATCAGCAGGGCACTAACTGAGTGCTAACTGGGATGGCACATTTTTTTGCCCACAGGTGTTTGTGCTGTGCCATGGGCTTCTCCAGCTCTCCCAGCTCCTCTACAGTGCCAACTTCAAGAGCAGCCTTACCACCATTGAGAAGCGCTTTGGGCTCTCCAGTCTCTCTTCAGGTTTCATCTCCAGCTTGCACGAGGTAACTGGGTGAGATGCTTGTGAGGGGGCCCCCAGGAGTGGCCAGAACGCGGGGGGACCTTCCCCAAATAAGGTCTCAGGGTTGTTCACACTCAGTGCTTCCTCAGCCATGCCTACACGTACTGGATGAAGCAGATGTTGCTGTACACTTGGACAGCTCTTCACACTTCACTACTGCTGTACCATATGCCAGGAGATTGAAGGTAGGGTTAGGTGGTGAGGACGTGGCCTTGGAGGGCAGCAGCAGAAAGCAGGTTGTGTCAGAAGAGACCACTCCACCCTGGCATGCCAAACATCTCCAGCAGACATGACTGGGAGATGTGCAATGTGATTCTTCTCCTTTGGTCACAGTTCTTATAGCTTTTGTGAAGAGGAGCATTTTATTACAAGTGGTACCCACACAACTACAGCTCCGTGAGCAAATTACAGTAAAAGTATCTGTTTTCATAGGTGTCTCATCAGCTTCAGGAATGACTCTGGCCTGAGTCATTCTCAGCTTTCTCTGAAAGGAGACCCTGGCCAGCAGTCTCTCCAAGATCTACTGCCTTTCTTCAGTGGTCCCAGCTTCTGATGGCCCAGTGGCAAAGGAGTGACTTTCACTGGCATCATATTGCTGAGCTGGCCAAGGATTTTCCCACGGACACTTTCTAATTACTTACTCTTCTGGAATAAGTTTTCTAGTTCACGTTGTCATGAATTCTATCCTTTCTGGCAGCTCTTCAAGGCCAACTAGGAAAAGACCTGCTGGGAGAGACTTTCTTTTGATGACACAGACAAAGAAGTGCTTGGTGGCAGCCCACCTTGCATACAGCTGGTCTTCTTGCATGGGATCCTCCACCAAGAGGCTGAGCACTGGGAATCCTCCTGAGTCCTTGGGGAAGCAGATGCCCAGGTCTTACCCCAACCAGCAAGTACATCCAAGAATCAAAAAACTCGTTCAAAGCCTATTGAGACCAATGAAGGACTTTGCACTGATTGTGACTAGGTCCAAACCATACAAAAAAAGAGACCCAGTATGGACAGTTGTAACATTGGTAATCCTCAACTGGCATAATTAAGCCCTGCAGAGTATCCCACCACCCACAGCAGTGTTACATCTGTAACCTGTCTGCTCCTCATCCGCTAGAGAAATTACTCCTAATTATGAGACTTAACCAAAGCAAACGTCATGTAAAGCAGTCTGTTACTGCAAGAATATAAAGGGAAAAGGATTGGAATAGGACATATGCCATGCTGTTAAAGAATAACAGCTTTCAGACAACTGATATATCTTTATTCCTCTGCTTTATGAGAGGGATTTCTGCACTTTACTCCAGCTCTGTGTGAGCTCCCCTGCCTGTCCAGGACCACGATCTTTTCACATTGACGGCTGCAGCAATTCCAAGAACAAAAACCACAAAGAGACAAACAAGGGAGCCCATGTAAACATAAATAAAAAGTATTCTTAGCCATACATGCCAAGGTTAAAATAATGTTTAGCTTGTCCCAAGCTGACAAAGGCCATGTAATGGTAATTTTATGGTGTTCAACCCCTTGCCTAAGTAAGCTGCATGTTTTCATATCTTTTTAGCTAATCATATCTACAGTTGCAAATGTCCAGAGTCACAAACATTTGCAATGAGCTGGACTTTGTAGCTGGGCTCGTGCCTGCTTAGTCATGGGAATGAAGGCAATATGCTTCATTTCTTGCTGTGTTTGGGGGAATCGTTAGTTTATGCCACATCCTATGAGGTGGGAGGCATGTGTGGGTGCTGAAAAAAGCCCCAGCCAGACCACAGGGAGGTTGTGAAGCCGTCTGTGACAACAAGGGATGCACACAGGTGACAGAAGCCAAGGAGCTGGCCTGCTGGCTTTTGATGAGAAGGAAGCACTGACTTGCTGTGAATGTCCAGGGTGAAGGGCTGTCCCGTTCCTGCTCTTGTGGGGGGTCAAACACCACCTGATAAGAGAGCTCTCCACCCACCCAGACACAGTCCTGGGGGACCAGTTACAGAGTCTTGCCTTCCTCCCTGATGTCTTCTAACGTCCCCATTTCACTGTGCCCTTTCCAGATCGGCAACGTGGTCCTCATCATCTTCGTCAGCTACTTCGGCAGCCGAGTTCACCGCCCACGGGTGATCGGTGTGGGGGGGCTGCTGCTGGCAACGGGAGCGTTCTTGGTTACCCTGCCCCACTTCCTATCAGACCCTTATGAATACACCACACTTAGCACCGGTAAGTACCTTCACCCTTATCGCCATGACCTGTCACAGCACAAATCCATCTCCAGTTGCTCTGGGCTGGGTTACCTGTGCCTACCCAAAAAACAGCGTTGTATCCAGCGCGCACACAATTTAAACACAGTGTTTGGAGGGAAAGACTTAAGGCAGAGATTTGCTATTTTAAGCCTGACTTCAGTATAGTTTTGCAACCCCTTCTGAATGCAATAATTACATGTGGCATCCCTTCCACCTCTTCTGCACATGTCGTTCGAGCCACGTTTTCAGGTGCCAAGTACTGTGATCGTGGTGAAGTACCTAAATTCCCCATAGGTGCTCCTGAAGGCCTCCAGAGGGAGCAGTCTGTGTTACCAAGACACCTCTTTCTCGCATCAGTGCCCAAGGAGCTTGCTGTAGGGCTGAGACCCCTGAGATAGCCATCATCCCACACGGGCGTGCCACCCCAGGAATATTTGTAAGGAGGTTCCACAAATGTGGAACTTGAAAACTAATTGTTTAACTAACTTAATATTTGATTTTTAACATGCTTCTCTCCTGGCTGCGCCCACCCATCTTTCTTCAGATCTCTAAGCACACCATGTCCCTACTTTCTGCATGGGTGGTCTGCGTCCTTCCAACCTGCTCCTGAGCATCCTAGAAATAGGTTTGCTTTCTGTAGCATCAGAAAAGCCCCAGCTGCAGCTCCAAAGCTGCATTACTGGCTAATGCAGACAGCATTGTTATTAACAATGACATTCGGGTATCCAAAAAGCCAGCCAAGGAGAGAGTGTGAAACAACTGTGAGCAGAGAGCTGCTGATGGGGCAGCAGATTTGGAGCAGAAGCCCTGGGATGCAGGAGATGCTGGTTCTGCTGCTGCTGTCCTGTGTGACTGGAAAAAATCACTTCACTTCTGGCTTTTTCGGGGCACTGGTGCATTTCCTGAGGGGGCTCAAAGGCTCTGCAGTACCTTGCCACTGAGGCTTTGTGCTTTTCTGAACTCTGAGCTGGATTCATACCAGAACAGTTCTTGCCATATCAGTCTCATTTGGATGGCCCTTATCCGCTCAAGAAGTTAATAGCTGTGGCACTGTAGGTCAGTCTTCACATGCACTGGGGGAAAAGCTGTTAATCTGGCTGATAAGAAGGCTTGAAAGTACAATCTTGATGTCTGTTTATGCCTTGTTGCACCAGCTAGGTTTTGACCACCTTCTCCTTTCTCCTGGTTGTTGTGCGTGACAAAAGAGGTTGCTCTTGGTGATCTCACTGCAGGCAGCTGAGAGCTGTGGCAGAGCAAGGGAGAAGATCAAACACTCCCGCTGCAGTCTGGCTTCCCTGCAGCCCTGCTGAGAGCCCAGGCTGAATGCAAATGCAGCTGATGGTTTGCCTATAGCCCAAAGCATTAGGAAAGGAACATTATCTTTACTGGAGTCACAGAGGTATTGCAGCATGAGAAGTGAGGTTGTCTCCCTGCTGCTGAGCAGTATGCAGGTGATTGATTGATAGAGCAGAGTTAAGATCTCCTGTCCCCAGGACCTGTTCTGCTCTAGCCAGTACGCCTTACAATCCATACTAAGGAGGGCTACTGATTTAACTGGGCAGGCTTTGGGAACAAGCCAGTGTGTACAACAACAGCTCTGGTTTCCATGCAGAATGCAATACACAGAAGAGCCTGCATCATGTGCCAGAAGGCTGGCCTTGGTCTTCCCAAAGTGACTTCAGCCCCTAAATTCTTGGGATGCCAATGAGCCTTAGCCTCCTTGGGGATTGCCACCTCTGAAAATCCTAAGTCACCTCAGCTCTGTGCCAAGTTGCTCCCCCTGCGCCTGTGCCACTGAGGGGGATGGCAGCAGTCACAGCAGTGCCAGCCAGGGAAAGCCTTCCACCTCTAGTTAGAAGATGCTTTCTCTTGGGAAGACTTTGAGCCCTGTGGATTGCATCGTAGCCTGATTCTCTGGGCTCAAGGAGCCTTAGCTGTGCCGGGGAGCTGCTGGGTGGCCTTAGGCAAGCTGCTCCCCTTAGATAGTTCCTAACTTTGCTGCAGCTCAACAGGATGCAGACCCCGGACAGGGAGCAAACCACAGTGAGGACATAGCTGCTCACAAGTGCCTGACTGCTCCTACCAAAGGGTCAGAGATCCTCTGGCTTTGCTCTCCCACATCAGCTCTGGGAAATCAGGCACCACCACGGCTGATCTGCAAACCCAGATCCCATGAAACATTACTAAAAAAGATGGCCTGGTGTGGAGCTGAGAGTGTGCCAGCACTCATGCAGAAATATGAAGACCAGATCTCTGCTGGCTCGCAGCTGCATCCCTGCTACGCAGCTTCAAATGTCTCCATGATTTTCAAGTCGGCCAGTTTGGAGACTGGATCAGGCATCAGGTGCTGAGTCTTCTGAAAGCATAAATTCATGCATCAGACTATGAACGGGTCAGGATTCAGGACAGGGGCTGCTCTTATTGCAAAGGAAACAAGTCGAAGGAGCAGGTATCATCCCGCTCCCTGCCCAGAGCCCTACATGTCTCTGCCTGGTATTTACAACCCATGAAGATACTCCAGTCATGGTTGGACTTTGCATGGCAGTCTTGAGCAGCATGAAGACCTCCCCATGTCTGGATGGTATGAAGAAGTAAGATTCTTGCTTTGGGAGATGGGCTGCTCCTGAGCAAAGAGGGCAATGGAGATTCAGGGGCAGGGTGTCCTGCTCAGGACAGCCAGGTCACCCCAGAGAGCATTGCTCCCTGTTCCTGCCTGGGTACCACAAGGGAGCAAAGACCATTGATAACAAAAAGCCAGCCATGGGTTAGGTTTGCCCTCGTTAAACCGAGAGCAGCCTCACTCCACAGCATGCAACCTGGCATGAGAGGCTTCTGTGACTCTCGCTTTTGCTGTGGTAAAATCTTTATTAGAAAAGAAGGCTCCTTCTGTCTGGCAATGTTGACTCTTTAGACAACGTGGCTTTGAATGGACTTACATAAGGATTTTTGTGGTGACCTACTATTAGGCATGTGCTGCTGCACTACGCCAATGAAAACCCCAAATCACCTGACAAATATTTGGTTTTGGTTTGTGTCTGTTTGCTCAGAAGGGTAGAAAATCCACAGTTGCTACATTAACGAGAAAGACGTGATAGGAATGTTGAACTAATTACAAATAATAAAAAAAAAAAAAAAGAAAAAAAAAAAGCTAGAGTGGGAAGAGCTAGCATCAAAAGACCAAGACTTACCGTCTTTGCTCTGTAATGCCTCCATTTTGCATGAAAACCAGGTTTTTCCATCCATGAATATTTAGGCTTTTCCACTGGCTTTGACATCATCTGTCCAAACGCTTTTGTCCGTTGGCTGGGTCCAGCATTGCTGCAGCTTTGACAGAGAGCTTTTTATCCTCTGCTGACAGCTCGAATGCAGCTCACTGGAGCTGGGCTGCAGGGCTGACCCTTCGCAGGAGAAATTAATTTGCTTCCATCTTCTCTGATCAGCCTGTCTTTAAAAGTTTGATAAAAACCACAGCCTCGTTGTTTGCTACGCTGACCTCAGCATAATACCCCAAAGAAAGAGAAAGGTGATGAGAACTGCTAAATAAAATGAGCAATCCATCCAAAATCCAACAGTGTGTGCCTACTCGCAAATTTGGGAGAGTCCTGGTATTTAGGGATTTAGTGTGGGAGGAGGCAGGGGATGTGCCCAGCCTTGTAATGCTCATTCTTCTCCCTTTCAGGTAACAAAAGCCAGGTCTGGGGTGAACTCTGCTATGCAGAGACTAAGTTTGTGTGCCCAAACGCCACTCAGAATCCACAGAAGAAGGCCAGCAGCATATGGGCAATGATGGTTATCGCCCAGCTGCTGGCTGGAATCGGGACGGTTCCCATCCAGCCCTTTGGGATATCCTACGTAGATGACTTTGCAGAAGCAAACAATTCCCCGCTGTATGTTGGTAAGTGGGACCGTTATTGTATATCATTTTGTTTCCTCCAGACCTTAGAGGTGAGATGTAGAGGTGAGATGTAGAGGTGCTGATTTGGAGAGGAACCTCTGGACACAGGTTGAGCAGCCAGTGGGACTCAGATGAGATCCTCCCCTATTAAAAAGCTGGGCTGTCTCTCCCCTTGACAGTCAGCTGTTCTCTGTAAGGTTATATTTATGGTGTGGGTGTTTGTTAGGAAGCCAAAGAATCAGGGCAAGAAGATGAGATCGATGAGCTGGGGCTTCTCTCTTGTGTCTGTGAGAACTTCTGCCATCCATGGGGGGAAACAGTAGTAAGGAAACCTTCTGAGAGGCCATCTCCTTCTCGTATTAAGCATCGGTTGATCACAGTTTAACCAGAGGTATGACAGCCTGCAGGAGCCAATTAACACAGGTTTTGCATCAAGGGTTCAAAATCAACATTTTTGCCATGGAATTGGTCCTTGCCTGGTGGGGTCTGCCCAGGCTCGGGAGGACTTCTTGATTGCAAAGAGATAGGTACTGGCTTCCATGTTAAACTGCATTTTTTTCCCTGTGAATGGCAAAACCCATCTGGTGCTGGCCTGCCTACGTGAGCTTTGAGCTCTGTCCATAAGCTATTTAAAAACCTGATTCCTCCTGGTGCCGAACAATGTCTTTAAAGCAGCCAAAGGCGTCAGAATGATTTAGGAGTTGAAAGCGGATGTTCCAAAATAAGGTAATCCCTAAAGGAGAAGGAAAGCCTTTGGAATTAGATTCCCAAGGACAGGCTTTGGACAAGCACTGGAGTGCTTGGCAGGGTCTCCAGACCCACCCAGGTCTGCTTTTCTCCAGGCTTCTGTTGGAAAGGGCTGCTGCACCACCTAAGAGCTCTGCAGAAAGTCTCCTGTATGGGTAGTACTTGCTCCTCTCAGCTCAAATATGGTAGCCTGGGCTGGCAAAAGGAGGGACAGAGCATCCTTGTCTTCCCCCTGTGGCAAGGGGTCGCTGTTCCCAGGACCTCTGAGTGCCCTTTTGATTCCAAACCTGCAGGTCCTGAAGATGAAGGAAAATGGGACTGGCTTGTTCTTTATAATATAGGTAGTCACTTTAGGGCCGTGGGAATGTCCATGTTGGGGGTACAGCTACTGTGAGTCTGGATTGCCTCAATACAACGTAAATACCATTGCCCTTTGAGTCGTGTTTTGTTTTAGGCCTCAGCATCTTCCTGTGAAAGGGAACACTACTGCCTATGTATGAAGTTAAATACTCCTTCTCTAAAGACCCTGCCCTTCAGTACTTGGGTTTATATTGTAGAAACAAAAGCACTGCCTTGCCTAATTGGAAAAAAAAAAAACAACTTTTAAAATAGGTGCACAGCTGAGGCATAGCAGTGGGATCAGGCACTTTCATACCCAGTATGCTCAAAGGCTCCAGACCAGCAAAATGCACAGAAATGGTCAATGCAGTTCAAGCAAGCTGTCTCCTTTTGAACATCTTAAGAAGGTTGTGCAAAGAGTTTCTTTCAGGGAGGAAACTTGAATCCTTTAATTCCAAAGAAGTCAAAAGGAAACATTTTGACCTTATGGGCTGGGTCCAAGTTATCTATTTTTTGAACGGGATAGTTCAGCTGAACCGAGGGTGATCTGCTGGCCTTTTTGCTCTCAGCATCTTTCACCTCCCCTGAAGTTTGCACCAAATGTTTTTGCTTGGATCTAAGGACTGAGATGGCTTTTTTTCCTTGGCCTCCTGTAGGAGATTAAGGTCTCCATCACCTGCAGGAGCCCCAGGATGGCACTGTCCTCTGCTCTCTGGGGTTCCCCCCTTTGTCACAGTGAATCATGGATATTCACAGTGTAGCTGACAACTTTTAGTGCATCAGCAAAACCTTGATTGCAGCAGAGCAGAAGGACTTTTTCTGCAGGCAGCTGCCTGCCCTCCTCTTAATCCTATTCGATAAACACCATGTTCAGTATCTGAGCAATGGGGATCTTCTCATCATCTGCCACTTGATAAAAAATGGTTTCTATCCTCTGCATGTTATAACACCATTCCTGCCTCACATGGGAAGACAAAAGCTGTATCTGCATTGAAGCTACTATTCCCTGCTCACACTGGCTCTCTCTGCTCCCTTTTTTCAGCCATCCTCTTTGCCATTGCTGTGTTTGGCCCTGCTTTTGGATACTTGCTGGGATCTGTGGTGCTGCGACTCTTTGTGGATATTGGAAGAGTTGACATTGGTGAGTATTTCTCAAGTAGCGATGGTCCTCCTAAAAGCCTTCTGTGAGTCAGAAGGTCACACTGACATGACTGGTGGCAGAAGCCACCAGTCCCGTGACCCACAAAACCCACTCCCATGGAAAGACCTGACCTGGAATAGCACCCCCAGTGCACCTCTCCACTCCATCTCCCCGTGAGGAAGGCTACAGATGGTCCTGAAGCCACCACTGAAGCAGAGCCCTGAGGTAGGGACATTTCAATGTCCTGCTCATGGCGCTGCACTGAAGCGCTGGTGGTCATTGCTGGGGTCTGCCCACTGTCACCACGCTGAGGAAATATCACACTACCCCAGCACAGTGGTGGAGACGAGCAGGGACATCTGAAGCATCCAGGGATGGAGAAGACAACCACAGGGCAACCATTGCCCTGTGGGTGCACAGGAAGTCTCAAGTCTACTCGTCCTCCTCCCCACCACCCTTCACCAGCATCTGCAGAGAGAGGGACCAAGCCAATGCCACTGCAGGGCTTATTTTCTTTATCTGCAGTTCATGCTTATTATTTCTGGTAACTTAATCACTAAAGAATTCCCCCCAGCTCCATCATTAATGTGGCTTTTCCTGTGTTTCCTTAGAGAGATCAGAGCTCGCCTGACATATTTGTCCGGTGCCTGATAAGAATAATAAATGAACGTGGGCAGGAAACGGCAAAAAGCCTTGGCTCACTCCCTGCGGCGGTGGACGGATTTAGCAGCCTCTGCCCAGTCGCTCCATGATGACGTCCAAGCTCCGGAGTGGAGTGGTCCTGTTTGGGGAAGTGGGGCGATTGTTTTGGTGGGGCGTGGGCTCCTCTCATGCTGCACCCTGGCACGGAGCTCCCACCCGGAGGCTGCTGCTGGTTCCTTTCCCAGCCGCAACGTCCCAGCAATGGGGAGATGTGGTCCCCATGCCAAGCCAAGCAATCTGTCAACCTCCCGTGAGCATCGCTTGGCCCAGCCAAAGGATGTCTGCAGTGGAGACGGAGTGGCTCTCACCTTCTCCTCCTTTTTCCGGAGAAGGCGCCCAGAGTTTCATCCACTCGGAAACCAGGCTTATTAACAGCACTCTTCTGCCGGCATGGGTCCTTCCCTTAGTCTCTGCAAGCAGAGAGTGACCAAGCCTGGAACAATGGGAGAGCAGTTTTTTCCAGGAAAGCGGCTGTGCCCTTTCCCAGTCCCTGTCTCGGCTCAGCATCCCTGGCAGGCAGCGCGATCCAAACCCACCTTACGCCCCAGGCACAGGAGGATGGAGTCCCTGTAATCACTGCCTTGCTGGCTGGCTCGGCAGGAAAGAGTTGAACCTGTGCCATCAGCATACTTCGATGCTGACTAAATCCATCCTACAGTCATTTGGAAGGCTCGGCACAATTTGGATGGGGAGGGGAGGTGCAGGATCCTTGCCAGGGGGAAAGGAGGTCAAACATGACCATGTCTGGTCTTGCTACCAGCAGTGGTGGGAGCTCCCACCTCCATCCATTTGCTCTTCCACGCCAGTGGAGAGGCCCTTGGACTGTGCCCACATGGACCCTTCATGCTCTAGCAGTCCATATTTGCATGGACGTTTGCCCCTTTCACCCTGAGACATGCAGGAAGAGAGCTATTACGATGGGTCCTTGTGTCTTGCAGCTACAGTGGCCCTGACACCAAGGGACCAGCGGTGGATTGGAGCCTGGTGGCTGGGACTGCTGATCTCCTCAGGCTGCTTGGTGCTCACATCTATTCCTTATTTCTTTTTCCCTCGGTACATGCTGAAAGGAGAGGTGAGACCTCATCTCCAGAGGGCCAGAACATCTTGGTGCCAGGGCTGCACTCGGGGAGGGAATACCTGTCCCCAGGGGAGAGGGGTAGAAGGGAGGAAGGGAGCCCAGCAACCCTTCTCAGATGTGGTTACAACTTCTCACAAGTGAAAAGTCCTCCAAAATAAGCTCTGTGCCTCTAACACGTGAAGGACCAGACCCTTCATTTCTTCACCATTAGCTGGAAAGCCAGAACGGCCACAGCTCAGCAGACCAAAACCAGACCTCATGCCCTTCTCACTAGCTGCATCAACAGTATCTGTTGGGAAGGTTTTGGGTAGACCTGCACCTTCCCTGGGGCAGGGTGATGGCTGGGTGGCTTCTTGGGGTTCCTGCATGCAGTCCTCCTTGGAACGGGTCTGTCCATGGGAACTCGACCCTCCTTGGGTGTCTCACCTAGTTCTGCTGGTGATGGCTGTATCTTAACTCCCCACTGCAACACCCTCTACAAGGTGATGCTCCCCTGACGCCAGCACCACCATCATCAGTGACAGCCCCTGCTTGGGGCAGAACATCCTCAAGTGTGGCATACATGGGAGCAGCACTGGGATAAAGCTGGGTAGCGGGGTTTGATAAATGGGCTTTTCCTTTGGGAAAAAATAGCAGAAAAGAAACAAGTTTCCCCTTAAAACAAATTTTAAAAGATGCAAAACTATCAAAATGTTTCATTTCAGTGTTTTCAAAGCCAAGCCCCACTGGTTTAGTTTCAAAAATAGTTTCATTTGTTTTGAAATTGTTTAATCATCAATTCTTTAAAGGTCAAATCAAACCCAAAATATTTCATGATTAGAGCTAGAGGACTCACTAGACTTGAGCTGACCTGTCTCCAACTTTCATTTTCAGACTTTTTGCAGAATTCAGAAAAGAGGTATCTTGTCAAGGTTAAGGAGAGGAAAGCTTTCCAAGCTCTTAAACCTCTCCAAACAGGACAAGCTTTTGTCTTGCAGCTCTGCTCAAGGTCTGCAGTGATTTTTGAGATAATTCGCCCCTTTACTGTGATGGGAAGGAAAGCCATCAGGCTTGGCAGGGGGTCAAAAGCATCTGGGACAGACCCTGCTCCTCCCAAGCCTCACTGCATGCCGGGATAGTGCCAGCCACGCATAGGTGCTCCCCTCTCACTGCAAGCTGCTCTTCTCTCCCTCCCCAGGACCCCAACGTGGAGGCCGGCATGCTCAGGAAGTTGGAGAAGGGGGTGGCTGAAGAAACCTCCCTGCTGGAATTTATAAAAAGTAAAGGGCTGGCACTTAAAGGCGAGGGTGACTGGGGGAGCCGGGCCATGCTGAGTGGGTGGAGACCACCACACCGGTGTTTTCAAGCTGAGGGTGCTTGTTGGAGGCCTTTAAGTCTCTCCACCACATTGCGTGGAGATGCCAGGGCCAGCTCAGGCAGCTCAAGGGCTGTAGCGTGCCCTTTCCTAAGGACCATGGGAAGATGGACACAGCCTCCCTCTTGCTATAAGACAGCTGTGTTGAGGTCTGTGGAGCCTGAATCATTTCTGAAAATCGGTTTGAGGATCTTAAATGGCATGAGCATGCTGGAAAACACTATCTGGGTGGTTTAACCCATGGCTCCAGGAGAGGGCATGGGGCTGCCGGCGCCACCAGCCACTGCTTTGAGGAGGTCACCGCACTGCAGCTTACACCAGTTTGTTTATGCGTAGTTGAAAGGGGCTTGAGTAGGGATGTCACTGATGAGAGAGATCAGTTTAATGACTTTTTAGCTCCATGATGACTTCTTTCCAGCTAAAGCCCCCCCCCTTCCCTCTCCATGCACCACAGTCATATCCTGCGGCTGTCAGCGCCTTCTTTATCTCATTGGGCTTTGATGAACGACGCTGGGTCTCCGCAGCACTCTCTGCTAGAAGGGGAAAGCTAATTAGAGACCAAATAAACAGAGCTGCTCCTGAGGACCCTGGAGTCAGTCTGCCTCTGCTGAAAGGCTGTCCTGGCTGGGCAGGGGGACATGATGTCCCACCAGAAAAATACACTGTGTTCATCAGCTGCAGGAGCCAGACCCTTCCCGTGCACAGCTGACAGGGCTCTGCCAAAACCCCTGGGGCTTTGTTCATTTGCACTGCCCGAGGGTATGGCCCCTGCTCTGGAAAAACAAATGAACTGTGGCTGCTAAGTGCTCCGGAGGCTCGTGAGTTTGGAAAGCGTGGGAGGGAGGGTGGTGGGCAGAGCTGGCCCTCCACCTCCCTTCTTGGGGTACTTTGGCCATGGTCCTGACAGCTGCCGGGCCAAATTAGGGTGTCTCCCCTTCCATTTTCCCATGGCCTTAGACATCCCTTGTATTAACTCACTGGGAACAGTCTAAGGGTGGGATTTTTCACAGTACGAATTGCTGATGTGAGGATCACATGGCCAAAACACATTTTTCCTGCTGTTTCCCTGTAGGATTCCCAAAGATCTTCCTCAGGCTGCTCCTCAACCCCCTCTTCATCCTCCTGGTGCTGGCTCAGTGCAGCTTCTCCTCAGTCATTGCGGGACTCTCCACCTTCCTCAACAAGTTCCTGGAGAAGCAATACAGTGCCTCCCCCTCATATGCCAACTTTCTCATAGGTGAGCACAGCCAGGCAGCAGCAGCCATGGGGTGAAAAGTATCCATCAGCAGGCAGCCAGCTGCCCATATGCCCCAGGCTTTTTCATCCCATGGGAGGAAGTCATTGGAAACTCATTTTCAGATGAGACCTAGGGATCACCTCAAGATGGTTGATGACGTTCCTGACCTGAGATGGCTGTAGAAGGCCAGGCTGTCTTGCAGCCTCTCAGAGACCGACTACATTTTTTTCCTCACTCTTGCGGGCCAGCAACCGCTCTCGTTGAAAACGTGCAGCCCCACCACATGGATGAAGCAGGTCTGGATCACTTGGATGCTTAAAGTAGCTGGCAAGAGCAAGAAGCTACGCAGCAAGCTTGATCTTGCATCTCTAAGCCAGACAGCTGAGGCTGAGGTTTCTCATAGGTGCTGACTGCCTTGGGTTTTTGTCTTCTTGGGTAACAGTGGGGTCTGTGGGTTCTCCCAACCACCATGAGGTCCACAAAGCCACTACCTCCACCCCATGCCAGCAGAGAGGTGCTTGACAGGCAGGACCCCAGCTAACAAACACCTTCGTTCCTCTGCAGGAGCTGTGAACCTGCCAGCAGCAGCGCTCGGGATGCTCTTAGGAGGAATCATCATGAAACGCTTTGCCTTTTCCCTCCGAGCCATCCCCCGGTTTGCTGTGGTGGTGCTCGTTTTCTCCATCCTCATCTGCCTGCCCATTTTCTTCATGGGCTGCTCCACAGGGCACATCGATGGGATCTACCCCCCCAGGTAACACAGGCGCTTGGGTTGTTTCCAGCTCCTTATTCCTCCAGCTCTTGACCTGATTATCCATGGGGCGGGATACATGCCAGTGGAGGGGAAGAGGCAGTAGACATCACCACGCTACTGCTTGCTCCTTGATCCCACTGCCTGGAGGAGATCTAAGAGCTATACAGCACAGAAAGCTTGGGAGGGCATTTATTCCTGATTTTCTGTACAAAACAAGCAGGGCTTTATAGGAGGAGATCGGTAGTACTAGTGCCCATGTCCACATCAACCCCACACATGGGCACCTCATGCACTCCCTTTGTTCCAGCTGGACATCACCTTTCTTCTCACCTGGGTGGAAACTTTTGGCTCTTATCATGTTGTTTTAAGAGAAAAATGGCATTTAGACTCCAACCCAGGCTTGCTGTCAAGTGTGTTGTGCTCATTTCCCAATGCACTGCCAGCAAGGGGCTTTTGTACAAATGTGAGGGGTGAGGGACAGGGCAGTCCATGCACTTCTCCCACTTAAAAACCATGAAGGAAAGCACCAGCATTCTCCAAACTCATGTGTGGGCGATGTGTTTGTATTTTTCTCTGAGATCTGCACGGCATGCTCTGCTAATTCAGGAGCCTGTGGAAGTCCACTAAAGCACTGGCATCGTAAGCTTTCTGTGTGAGAGCAAGGCTTCAAATGTGAGACCCCTCAGGTCCAGCTCAGGTGCTGCAAGTGCTAAATTTTGGAGGACACCTTGGCCTCCCACCATTCACCTCTTGCTGCTAGTGTCAGGTTGATTGCCTGTCTCGGCTCCTCTGCGACGCACCAGTCCCAACAGGCTTTGCTGATGTAACTGGGAGCTGCTGGAGGGACTTGCATGGAAAAGGAGGCTGTTGCCTTATATTACTTTGGAAGCCTCCTCCCTTGCAACTGCAGCAGTGCATAAGAGCCTTTTGCCTGGATCCCCAGGTAGCTGTGGGTCACATGGATGGGTGAACATGAGCTCTGCCCCATCCCACCATGCCCAAGGCCAGGTCCCTGGTGCCGGCTTCCTGCAGGAGACAGACTGTGCTGCTCCAGCAGATGGACTCCCTTAGGTAGTAAGGCAAGACAGACAATTCGATTTGTAGTCTTGACTTTCATGGTGTTGTCAGATTTGTCTGGAAATGAGTCTGCTTCCAGTTTCTGTCTGAATGGTGTTTCCAGCTTGGGCTGTTCGCACATCTGTTTGTGCAGTTCTGGATGGAGCCCAGATATGTTTCTCCAGGCATTTGGCTGATTAGTTTTCAGCTACGGGGGCGGGCAGGGGGGGAAAGTCAGTGTGTGAGTACTTGTTTGCAGACATAACATAATTACTGCAAAGTTCACTGTACACTTGCAGAGGTACCTGTAGGGGATCAGAGTCTGGCAGGCGGCCAGCCTGCTGCTGGCAGTGTCCCAGAGCAAATACGAATGGGAAAACTGGTTAACTAGTAAGAGGGATTTTTCTTCCTCCTGTCCTATTTCTTAATTTTTAAATTTTTTTTTCTACTCCTTTTTGGCAGTACATTGAGTTCCCAGCAGCAGGTTAAGATGCCGAGTGGGTGCCAGTGCTCTGAGCACATCTTTCACCCGGTGTGCGGAGAAAACAACGTGGAGTACATCTCCCCCTGCTTTGCTGGCTGCACGAACAGCACTGCTAATTCTTCCACTCCCAAACAAGTGGTGAGTAAAACGACTGGTTTGCAAAGCAGAGTGCACCTTGCTTGCTGGTGACAGTGGAGGCTGCAGCAATGCTGTAGGAACTTGACAAATGCAATAACGTGGTAGAGCCTTTTTGACACGGGGAGCAGGGAGGTCTACCAGAGGAGCTGAAGTCCTGAGAAGGTGCAATGGAGAATTGCTGTAACACCCTGGGAGTCTGGTGGAGAAATGGGGACGGCAGCATATCCTATTGCAGGATGCCATGGCCGTACCTTAAAATGGGAGCTGACGCTCTCGTCAGTCTTCTGCAAAGTGATGTGGTCTGGTCTGTTCCTAAAAATCCCTGCTCTTGGCTTTGAGAGTTTTACATTTGTTTTTTCCAAATGTTTCCAACAGATTTACAAGAATTGTTCCCTGATCCCTGCTGTGAACGGGCTGTCCTCCGCCAAGACAGGCTCCTGTCCTCTCAGCTGCTCCCACATGCTTCTTCCTGCCATGTTCCTCATCTCCTTTGCTGCCCTGGTAGCCTGCCTGTCCCACAACCCCCTCTACATGATGGCAATGGGGCCTCTCAAACATGCAACCAGGCCAAGATGTTTGGCCAAATACACAGCTGCTCTGACCTCCCGTGGCTTCTCCCCTGCAGGGTGGTGAACCAGGACGAGAAGTCATTTGCCATTGGAGTTCAGTTCTTACTAATGAGGCTGCTGGGTGAGTGTCCATCTCCTAATAAGGCTGGGGGAAGGCAGCAGGGTGCTGAGAGGCTTGCTTGAGCCCCAGGAGGTGTTGAACCTCCTTGGGGACAGCAGACAAAGCATGCAGGCAGGGCAAGGAGGGCAGCCTGACTCCATCCTCTCTTCTCCAAAGCCTGGCTGCCGGCTCCAGCCATGTTCGGTGCCCTCATCGACTCCTCCTGCATCTACTGGCAGAAGCAGTGCACCCAACGCCAGTTCTGTGCCTACTACAACAACGACTTCCTCCGCAACAGGTACCCCTGCCGTGTGTGTCCCCTGTCCCCCCCAGTGGGGATGACCACGAGGATGGTCCCCAGCTCAGCCTGGTGCCAGCTGGAGGTGCCACCTCCAGACATAGCATCTCCCTGCTCTTGTCCCAACAGATACCTGGGGTTGCAGGTGGGCTACAAGGTGGTGGGCACCATCCTCCTCGCCCTCATCGGCTGGAAGGTGAAGAGGAGCAAGGAGTACAACGTGCAGGAGAAGGCAGCAGGGCTGATGTAGCCCACCCAAGGACTGACTTCACACCCCCTGTTACCCACTGCCAGTACTTTGTCTTTTTTGGGTTTTTCCCTGTAAGGGGGCGACTTCACCTTAGCAGCTCTGAGCTCCTCCTGCAGCCCATGGCACCGCCGTGCTCCTGGTGAGGGACTCTCCATGCCAGCCCCATCCTGGGACCGGCTTCTCCCAGGCTGTCCAGCTGTGCCTTTCTCATCACTTTGGGGAGGGGGCATCACCCCCCAACCTGGAGCAGGAGGCAGATGGGGGCTGGAGTGCAGCCCCATCCCATATAGCCAGAGAAGTGCCTGCTGTGGGTGACGGTCCCCCCTCCAGTGTGACGTTTCCAGATGGGTAATGCCCTCCCAGCTGGGACAGGAGCAGGGGATACCTCTGCCAACCCTGTGGGGCTGCGCCATGTCCCCCCCCGCCCACACCCCTTGCAGAGATCAGCATGGACACTGCACACGTGTTATGAAAAGTTATCACTCGGGGTTTATTGCAGAACATTTGGGGGGGTTGTTGCTTTTTTTTTTTTTTTTAAATAAAGGTCACTTTTCCAAGTGTGGTGCTTTGCTGGTCTCCCCTTGAGAGCTGTCCCCACCAGCAAGGCGGTGGGGATGCCTGCAGGTCACATCCTGGCAGATGCTGAGTGTATCCTTTGCTGGCAAAGGTGAAGAAATGGTGGCAGACAGGGCATGTGCTCCCCCTGTGATGAGGGGCTGCGCAGAATGGGCAGGCTGTGCCAGCTTGCAGGCCAGGCAGCTGAAGGGGAGCAGTCCTGCCTGCAGTCCCATGAAACCTGCAGCCGCCTGCCCACAGCCTTCTGCACCCTGCCTGCATCATCCTGCACCCTGCCCACAGCTCTCTTCCTGCAGCCCCATGCCCAAAGCTCACTGCCCACAGCCCCATGCCTGCAGCCCTCTGCACCCTGCCTACAGCCTGCTGCCCACAGCCCCATGCCAAAAGCTGCCTGCACAATTCAGCACACAGCAGGCAGGGTGCATAGGGCTGTAGGCAGGGGGCTGTGGGCAGGGAGGCAAAGCAGCAGGAGTCTGCAGGCAGGGTGTGGGGGTCTTTGGGCATGGAGCTGCAGACATGGGGTTTCAGGCAGGGTTCATGGGACAGCAGGAAGGGTGCTACAGGCACAGGGATGGAGGCACAGGAAAGCAGGCAGCGTGCAGGGGTCTGCAGGTAGGGGGCTGTGGGCATGAGGCTGTGAGCATGGTGCTGCAGGCAGTGCAGGCAGCATGCTAACAGGCAGGGCCTGTTGGCCTGGTGTTGCTGTCTTAGTGCAGGGGGTTCCGCGCATGGGGCTGCAGGCAGAGGGTTGCAGGCAGGGTGCAGGGGGCTGCAGGCCGGGGGCTTTGGGCATGGCGCTACAGGAAGAGGGCTGTAGTCAGGGTGCTTGGGGCTGCAGGCACTGGGCAGGGGGTTGCAGGCAGGGTGCAGGGCTCTGCAAGAGGGGGCTGTAAGCTTCAGGCATGGAGTGGCATGTCCGGGAATACAGGCAGGGCTCATGGGGCAGTGGGAAGGGGCTGCAGGCAGGGGCCTGCAGGGAGGGTTCATGGAGCTGCAAGCAGGGTGCTACAGGTGTGGGGGCTGATGGCAGGTGTCTATAGGCAAGGGGCTGTGGGCAGGGTTCTGCAGGCAGGGTTTTGCAGGCAGGGCGCAGGGGCTGCAGTTATGGGGCTGTGGGCACAGGGCTTGGGCGTGGAGCTCTCAGCAGGATGCAGGCGGGGGGGCTGCAGGTATGTGGCTGTGGGCATTGGGCTTTGGGCATGGGGCTGCAGGAGGAGGGCTGCAGGCACGGTACAGGGAGCTGTAGGCACAGTGTGGGGGATACAGGCATGGGGCTGTGGGCAGGGGGTTGCAGGCAGGGAGCTGTAAGCTTTGGGCATGGAGTTGCACACACAGAGTTGCAGGCAGGGTGCAGGGCTCTGCAGGCATAGGGATGTGGGCAGGGGGTTTCAGGCAGGGTTCATGGGGCTGCAGGCAGAGGCCTGCAAGCAGGGTGGAAGTGTCTGCATGCCAGGTGCAGGGAGGTGCAGGCAGGGGCTGCAGGCAGAGGGCTGCAGACAGGGCACAGGGGGCTGCAGGCATGGGGCTGTGGGCAAGGCTCTGCATCCAGGGAGCTTCAGGCAGGGAGTGGTGGTTTGCAGGCATGCAGCTGCGGGCAAGGGCTTGGGCATGGAGCTTTAGTCAGGGTGCAGGGGGCTGTGGGCATGGGGCTGTAAGCAGGGTGCTGCAGGCAGAGTGCTACACGCACAGGGCTGATGGCAGTGCCTGCAGGTAGGGTACAGCAGGCTTTGGGCACGGGCATGCAGGCAGAGGACTGCAGGCCGCTCGCAGCAGACTGCAGGTAAGGGCTGTAGGCAAGGTTGTGCAGGAGGTATCTCTGTCTGTGGCATATCTGAAGGGAGCACAGCAGCTTCAGGGCCTCCCTGATCTGCTCTGGCAGAGCTTCACCTACCCTGCAGCGCTACCCAGGACCTTTCCGTTCCTGGCAGGATGAAGGCAGCCTGTTAGAATGGGAAGAGAAGTGTCGACTGGTGGGATCTGGGGATGCACCCGGTGATGATGACTGCCTGCTGCGATGGGAGCACCGCTTGACTGGTATCACAGGAATTGCTTCATGAGCTTATCAAGAGCCTGGCACCATGCAAAGGGCACACCGTTCATCTCACCGAGCCGACACTGCTAAAAGGTGAAGCCAAGAGCAAAGGGCTTGACATGAATGCACTAGATCTGAAAAGGTGACATCTCTTCCATGACTCCTGTAGGAAGGGCGGCTGCTGAAGCATTTTTGCCAGCTGTAGAGGACCATGGCAGACGCTGCTGGTTGGGATCATCCAGGGCTGTGATAGCAAAGGGTGCTGGATAGTCAGTCGGTGACTCAGGGTCAGCAGGGTCCATGGCCAAGCATAGACATGGCCGTGGCTGAGCTGGAGACAGCTACAGCTACAACGTAGCTCAGGAAGGGACTGAAGGGCCACGGCTGAGCTGAGGTGGGCTTGTGGGCCCATAGGCAAGGAGTGTGGGCCAGTCAGGGCTACCATACCTTCTTCCTCCTCCTCTACATGGCAGCTGTATGCCCTCCTGGGCAGCATCGCAGACTAAAAGGATGGGGAAGGACAGCAGGGGAGTGGAGCAGCTTTCTTGGGTAAATGTATTCAGCCTCCGCTGTACTCACTCCAGCACTGTGACGGCAAGGCATGGCTCTTCTTTTCACTGTGATCGTGGCCAACAGCCCTGCTGCATCCATGCGCATGGAGGGAGTAAAGGGAAAGGAGGGAAGAGGACAGGAGGGGAGCTGCTCTGGATTTGCTCTGGATCAGCAAGTCTTTATGAAAATGAGATCTGTCTGTGCTATTCCTATTCCCCCTCCACCTCGCAGGTTTTCCCTTAACACCTGCATGACTTTCCTTAACTCCACTTTCTCCACCTTCATTCCATCAGGGGTAACATGAAGCTGGAGAAGCCCCAGGAGGTGCTGGCCAATGAAAGCATCTGAGGTGGCCCAAATGGGGCCAACACAAAAGCTCCTGGCTCCAAAGGTGTCAAGGTGGCTGGGGCTGGCCAATGGCTTTGTGCACAGGAAAGGTCACAGTTGCAATAACACATTTTGGGAGCCTTGGAAACCACCACTACTGGGATGCCAGTGTTCAGGCCTCATGCTATTTTTGCTTTTCTTTGCCTTTCAGCACTCTCTCCTCCACTTTCATGTGGTTTCTACTATCCTGGATCTCACTGTGGTTGTCGACCTCCTCCAAAAGCACCCTTCCTTTCCAAAGGAATGATTTGCAGGCAAAGCACCAACCCACAGCAAAAAACTGATCAAAAGAGCTTTAAAGTACAGTGAAAGCCTCAGTCCCTGCAGATGTGTAAATGCAGCGGGGTGACTGACTCTGTAGCAGAAGGGGCTGAGTTTATCACATCCTGCTGTCTTGCCAAAGCCATCTAAACACACTGGCTGCCAAGCTGCAGCCTGAGGAGCAGCTTGCCCAGCCAGCACAAAGCCACAGGCTGGAAGCAAGGTTTATACCTAAGAGCAAAAAGCAAAGCACAAAGCTGACTGGGGAAAAAAAAAACAAAAACAACCAACATTCAGAGTTTCCAGTTCTGCCCTTTTCCCTCAGCCACTGGGGAAAAACAGCCCCAAATATTTAACAGGCAAATCATGGAGTGCAGCCCAAAAAACACATGCAGCTCTGCAACAGCCCAATGCATGCTCCGTTCTCTGGCATGTGCGGCACTGGGTGCAGCCCCGGCTCAGCCACACTGCCATAGGGCTGCCCCCACGCCCCACAGCCATGCTCAGACAGGGAAAGCTGAGGTTTCTCCGTCTGGCTGTGAAGCTGCAGGGTGCTGCAGCCACCTCCACCACAGAGCAGGGCAAGTGCTCTGTGACATAAACCACAACAGCCGTGCACAGTGCACTGCAGCTGACTTGAGTTTTCCTGTGCATTTGAGCAAAGTGCCTTTCTTGTTCAGTTTAATAGTTGTTTGGTGGTGGTGGTTGGTGGTTTGGGGTTTTTTGCTGCATGATTATCAAGCCTCTAACATTGAGACTAAGGAGTAAATACACACCCAAAAAAAACCCCAAAAGCCCTGCGTGTGGAGGAGGCATTGGTTTTTGACAACACAGACCTGGCCACCAAGCAGGAAGGTTGATCTCCACCATCATGTTGTGCAGAAGCAAAGCCCCAGTCCCTGCAGATTTGACACAACTGAGAAGAGGCCAATACAGACAGACTAAACCAAGACTTCAGAACAAACATTTAAGCAAAAAATTTTTATTTAAGAAATACTTTTAACAAGAATAACTTAAAGCCAACTATGGCCTTATGCTACCTTATCCCAGCAGAGGCTGGTGCCTGGCCTTCCCTCTTCAAGCAGACAGGTCTTTGCAAGCAGAATAACCACCCAAAGAAATAGCGATATGGATTCAAAGCAGGCGGCATGGGAAGGAGCTCCAGCTAAGGAAGTTCAAAGCATGACAAACATGTTCCAACAATGCTCTGGCTGCAGGAAATATAATAATATAACGTACTTCCTAAATATAACCCTCCCCATCTCCTGCATGGATAGTAGAAGAGCCACTGGGTTCAC